CTCCCACAGCTCGTGGCCCAAGATGAGACGCCCCACTCCCACAGCTGGTGGTCCAAGATGAGACGCCTCACTCCCACAGCTGATGGCCCAAGATGAGACGCCCCACTCCCACAGCTGGTGGTCCAAGAGGAGACGCCCCACTCCCACAGCTGGTGGTCCAAGATGAGACGCCCCACTCCCACAGCTGGTGGTCCGAGATGAGACGCCCCACTCCCACAGCTGGTGGTCCAAGATGAGACGCCTCACTCCCACAGCTGGTGGGAGCGTGTATGTGTGAATGCTACACAGTATTTATCTATTAACATCCATCTGTAGACATCCAGACATCTATTTCAGTCCTCGTGGCGCAGTGGTAACACTCGTCCCGCACTTTGCTAGCGATTTGGCCGGGGTTCGTATCCTGGCCGGGTGAGGTGTGTGTGGGGGGGGGGGGAGGTGGGATGGGATTGACTAGGCACCAATCCTTAACTATACGCCTCTGTTCACCCAGCAATAAATGGGTACCTGGTTGGTAAGCAATTTGGCGGGTCGTATTCCAAGGACAATTAAGATTCAAGGACCTGGCCCGAAACGCTATGCGTCTTAGCTGCTAAAATTAGCTTAGGTGCTAACACACACACACACACGGGGCTGAGAAGGGTCCGAAGAGTGTGGGTGGGCGTTGAAAGGAGCCGCCAGTCTCCAGGAGCAACACTGGCCGCAGTAAGAGGTGGCCGTAGCACCGGAGGAACACACAAGGGGGCCGCAGGAGAGTAACGCCAAGCTGTTGACACACTCCAACAAATCCCAGTATGAAAAGCTAGGCTATATCAGCCCCCCTGGCAGTGTGTCTGACCTTGCACGTGGTTGTGTTTGTAAACATTGGTGGCCAGGCTGGAGGGTGGACCAGCTGGCTCTGGGGGAGGGTGGACCAGCTGGCTCTGGGGGAAGGTGGACCAGCTGGCTCTGGGGGAGGGTGGACCAGCTGGCTCTGGGGGAGGGTGGACCAGCTGGCTCTGGGGGAGGGTGGACCAGCTGGCTCTGGGGGAGGGTGGACCAGCTGGCTCTGGGGGAGGGTGGACCAGCTGGCTCTGGGGTAGGGTGGACCAGCTGGCTCTGGGGGAGGGTGGACCAGCTGGCTCTGGGGTAGGGTGGACCAGCTGGCTCTGGGGGAGGGTGGACCAGCTGGCTCTGGGGGAAGGTGGACCAGCTGGCTCTGGGGGAAGGTGGACCAGCTGGCTCTGGGGGAAGGTGGACCAGCTGACTTTGGGGGAGGGTGGACCAGCTGGCTCTGGGGGAGGTACTCACCTATCAGTAGTGTCTACGAGTGAGGTGTTTGTCAAGTTCTCTGGAGCTCCTGGTGCTGCTGTAGCAGCTGTGTTGTTGTGCTCACTCAACATCTTCTGCATTGCTCTAGAGAAAGAGAGAGAAATTTTCTAATTATTTGCTGTTGTGACAACGGTATTTCGTGGCCGGCCTCCGGGCCTAGGGGCCCTCGGCGCAGCCTTTGCTTTAACATGCTGGATGCCGCATGCTGTCTTACGGCGCTCCGGGACGCACTATCCCCGAGGCCCGCTCTCTCAATAGGATGTAGGGGGGGGATGGTGTTTGTAGTGGGGAGAGAGAGAGAGAGAGGGGGGGGGAGGTGTGCCTGTGGGCCGTCACTGTTACTGTGCTTCCCACGGTACAGCTATACTCCCTCCCCCCCCCACACCCCTCCCCCACACCCCTCCCCCACACCCCTCCCCCACACTCCTGTACTTGATCAATAAATAACTAAATTCTATGTAAAAGAGATCTCTAAGCCTGTCCATGGAGGACAGAACATGGTGTATATATGATGGTTACCTCTGTAAATGTGGCGCCACGTCTGTGGTAGACAATAATATGAAAAACTCCCCTCACCCCCACGCCCCCCCCCCAAACATAGGCACGTAGTAAAGAGGGGTGACCTGTGTGGGGCGGCCTGTGCCCTCACCCGGCAGGTCACGGCGCACCATCACCAGTACCCACCACTCCTGGGGCTGGGACTCAGTCTTCACAAGCACAGATACACGAGTACACTTACCCTGCCCTCTCTCTTTGTCTCACCTCACCCCCTCTTATCTATCTCTATCTCTCTCTCTCTCTCTCTCTCTCTCTCTCTCTCTCTCTCTCTTAAATCTAGAGCGTGCCCTTCCTATAAGTCCTGCTCCTGGTAAGTCTTACTCTTACTATTTTTCCCAGGAAGCACGCCCGACCAGTCGGTCTTACTCCCAGGTAAATTGCTGCTGCGTGAACAGGGGGTGAACAGTTAGGAATGGGTTCCCAGTCAATCCTCCCCTGGTTCTGTCACGGGGCAAGTGTGTGTGTGTGTGTGTGTGCGGTATTTGTGTGTGTGTGTATAACTACTAGTCCAGTTACTGCCCATTCCAGGATCCCATCCCCAGAAACTAACTCTCGGATACATATATTTATGCTAGGTGAGCAGAGGCATGAGGTGAAAGGAAACGTCAGTGTCCCTCCCTCTCTCTCCCTGCTAATAGCGACGAGCAGCTTCGGGAAGGTAATTACTTAATGTGAACCACCATTAAAACTCTGGACATTTTAAGATGTTTGAGAGAGAAGAAAGAGATGTGTAGATCCTTGTGTTAATGAGACACAACACCTTCACTTCAACAACCATCTCTCCTTCTGTATTTTACACTCAGATTGGGTGTTTTAGTCCCTCCGGGTTGTTTAGTCTTAAGTGGCCAATTAACCTTCTCAATGACCTTAAAAACGTAGCTGAAGGTGGTATTGAGGGGGGGGGTCGTTGTTCCCGCGACTAACTGTACTGAGGTGATCTGGGAGGTCATTTACCTCTCTAGGAAACCACCTGAGGGGTTGTTAGGTCACCTGTGTGTCTGGGGGTCAGGTGTGTCTGGAGGTCACGTGTGTGTCTGGGGGTCAGATGTGTGTCTGGGGTACCTGGGAGAGGTTGTTTGGGGGTCGAGGCTTGAAGTAACTTGAAAAGTTACCGCAGAGGGTACTGGATCAGCCAGGCTGTGATGCGCATTGTGCCCCGGTAGCTGCTGGCACCGATACCACGTGAAAGCAGCCATAGGTAAACCATAGGTTAACTGGGGGTGTCTGGAAGACCAGCTGGAGGTCTGGAAGGTGATGACGTGATGCAGTGGCCAGCAGGGCTAGTGAAGAACAACAGTACTTGTCACGTTATGGGCACGCGAGCCCTGGGGGCGCCAGTAGGGCAGGTGTCACGGGAGCCCTGGGGGCGCCAGTAGGGCAGGTGTCACGGGAGCCCTGGGGGCGCCAGTAGGGCAGGTGTCACCTCACAGGAGCCCTGGCGGCGCAAATAGGGCAGGTGTCACGGGAGCCCTGGCGGCGCAAATAGGGCAGGTCCTAAGGCGCGGGTATCGGGGCAGAGAGGTCGGGGAGGGTGGGCGGTGGGCAGGCGAAGGTCAGGGCGCGGTATATGAGGCAGCGACGACACGCTGCGACACCAGTCATCTCCCGCACCTCCTCCACAACTGTCACCCGCTAACCCCCGTCACAAGCCGCACCCGCTGGCCGGCCGCACCGCGCACTACGGGTCCCGCCGCGGCTGTCTTCATGATGTCACAGTACCCGCCAGTGTCGTCCGAAGAAGATGGGATACGCGCTGGTGACTGAGGGGGCTGCGTGAAGACTGTCACTCACCGCTCGAGCCTCCAGTTAGTGCTGCTGCCTCAAGTGCCGCTCCAAGCAACTCCAGGCCGCTCCAAGCAACAGCCTGGTGGACCAAACTCTCACGAGTCAAGCCTGACCTCGAGCCGGGCTTGGGGAGTAGAAGAACTCCCAGAACCCCATCAACCAGGTATCAACCAGGCGACTTATACTGCTGTCTCAAGTGCGACTTGTGGTGATGTTAGCTGCCTGGAGAATGTATGGGTGGTGATTGATGACTCCAGAGGGTAAGGAGTGACCATGCCTGAGGTACGGGACCCGTGGTTGTGTTGGACAACTCATAACTGGACTTGTAGTGAGTGATGGAGGGTGACGAGGACTGGTGGTACTGACGCTAGTAAGGGGCGTGAATTAGTGCGGGGAGTTCCAGCGGTCACTTGTGTTGTGGAGACGCAATTACAGGAAGCCGACATGAACAGGTATGAGAGTACAACACCAATTGAGGGATGCGAACGAGCGGGTGACAACTTGTCACCTCCGCCTGTCAACCTCCCGCAACCCATTCAACCATCTTCCCTCCCAAAGTTCAGTGCTCTACAACTTACAATACAATAGCTGTTTTAACTAATCGTGATTGTCCTACTCTTGGAAATGGTCAAATACAGTAGTTTACAGTAGCAGTGTACTGTTGTGAATAGCTTGTATACCCAGGCCTTGTAGGCCACACAGACGAGCTGTTCATCTATGCAATTACCCGGGCTTAGGCCTTCTCTAGTCTGCTGCTGACTACTTTATGTATTGTGAGTTTATGTTCTCCTGTGGTGTGTGGTATGGTGTGGTGTGGTGTGTGGTATGGTGTAGTATGGTGTGGTGTGGGGTGTGGTGTGGAGTTGAAGGGAAGGGAACTATCAAGGGGAAAGCGCCAAGCCATTACGACTATATAGCCCTAGGAAGGGGGTCAGGATAAAGAGTTGGGAAGGAGAGTGGTGTGGAGTTAGGGATTGTGTAGTGATGATTGTATGTGTACTTGTAGTACACACGTGCAGCAGCAGCAGCAGCAGCAGCAGCCACCGCCAGACCTCCACTGCTGGTGTCAACAACATTACAGTTGACCTTCAGTCACCTTCCTCTCCTTTCAAAGTCCTCCAATAATGTCCTTTCTTCACTTGTTTCTCCTGTTTAACTTCGGTCTCGTGTTGCGTATAATTCAGTATTCTCAACCTCTCTTGTGTTGAGTTGAGTGTTAGGAGAACATGTCCCCGTGTGTCAGTGTGTGTACAAAACCTTCAATCTTTCCCCCATAACATATATCTTAGTTCAAAAACCATGTTGTTAAATGTCTGTGGACGTTTTCTAATTTGCTTATGTTTCTTTAGGTGCGGGCTCCATACCACGGCTGCGTACTCCAGTTTAGGTCTGACGTACGTTGTAAATAATTTCTTTAACATTTTTAAATCCATGTACTTTAACTTTTTTAACAAAATTGCCAAACTTGCATAGGACTCTTTTGACTTTAGGGTTTACGAGGAAATTGGTCCCATGAGAACTACAGGTTGTGCAACAAAAGTCAGAAAGTGAAGGGACGACGACGTTTCGGTCCGTCCTGGACCATTTTCAAGTCGATTGTGACTTGAGAATGGTCCAGGACGGACCGAAACGTCGTCGTCCCTTCACCTTCTAGTGTGTGGTCTGGTCATCATACTTTAGCCACGTTATTGTGACTCATCGCCTGCAAAAAGTCAGAAAATTATAAAAAAAAAAAAAGATGTTGATGTGATGTTAGAACTGTGGCAGTCTGTAGTACTCAGGGTCCTCCTTCCACTCTCTTTTATTTACAATATGTGGAGCTTGTTTACACTGAAGTTATTGTCTATTTGTGGCTGCATTTACTGAGTGGCTTAGTCACTGCTATTACCCGCTCTCCACTCAACCTGTGTTCCTTCTGCAACCACATTCACGTTATGTCTCATCGCTTCTGGCAAATAATTTATGCAAGTGAGAAAGATAATTGGGGCTAGTAACGCGCCTAGTGGGACCCCTGCTAGTGACTCCCTCCCCTTCCCACATGGTCAACACCTTCCCTGCCCTCACTGTCTCACCCCTCCCTCCCTTCCCTCCCACATGTAGGCTGCCATCTTAGTAAGCTGGCTTAAAGACCTGCTGTATTTATCAACTGTTGCAAAATCTTATTTTAGCACACCCGATATTTCGTTGTCATGGGGTTGGGGGAGGCACCAGTCCTTGTGAAGGAGGGAGACAAATGGAAAATTATTCATTATATACGACTTCCACACCACACCATCCGGAACACTCCAACACTACAGCCACAGCTCCACACAAGCAGGTGTGTCCTCCACACCACAACACCACCCCTCACTCCCCAACACTACAGCCACAGATCCACACAAGCAGGTGTGTCCTCCACACCACAACACCACCCCTCACTCTCCAACACTACAGCCACAGCGCCACACAAGCAGGTGTGTCCTCCACACCACAACACCACCCCTCACTCTCCAACACTACAGCCACAGCGCCACACAAGCAGGTGTGTCCTCCACATTACATATGCTATATATATATATTATATATATATATATATATAATATTTATATATATATATATATATATATATATATATATATATATATATATATATATATATATATAATATATATATATATATATATCCTAACACATATATTCGAGAGTGAGTAGTGTGTGTGGACCCGCGTAGATCAACCACCTCACTTCCTCTCTCACTCTACCCGCTAATTTACCTCACCTGACAAACTCTTCTCTAATATATATTTTTGTCCACGTTTGTAACAGTCTTTCACATTATCCTCTCATACATCATGTGTGGTAATTGACATTTATTCCTAACATACACCAAATTTATACCATTTTATAGTATTCTTGCCCTGAACTACTAGTTGAGGCTATCTATACTGAACAACAATGGACACATTAAACCACCCTGGTGTACTGATTTACAACCACACACACACACACACACACACACACACACACACACACACACACATATGCTCTGCTTGCTGCATAGATGCTCCTCCAAGCTCTCCTGAACCCCCCTACCCCCTGTTTAATAAGCTGCCATATGCACAAATCCACAAGGGCCGTGACGAGGATTCGAACCTGCGTCCGGGAGCATCCCAGACACTGCCTTAATGCAGTGGTTCGAATTAATAGACGCAGGTTCGAATCCTCGTCACGGCCCTTGTGGATTTGTTCATTTGATGCATGACGTTAGTGTGATCTCTGTGTCATATGCACCGTATAGTTGTTCCCATATGCTTTCCGTACAAACTATCGCAGCAGAAATATTTGATCATCGCAAACTTTTCCACTGTGAAGCCCACTTTGTTCAATACAAACTCATTTTTCACCTAGGTCATAAAAGTATTTGTGTGTACGTCTGATACCATACTACTTGTGAAGGAGGAAATGTATATGTTTACCTCTCAGAATGTTTGGTAATATGTTTATTGTTTGTGATGTGTGTCTATGTATATATTAACACGTTGTACTGAACGGGGTGAGAATAGCTTGAGCTACCTCATCCCTTTGTGTGTATTTTACCTCAATAAACTTATTTCAATTTCAACTCATTTTTCTGTTGTACTGATCCAGTCACTATTGCCATACACTTTGGTAATTTCACTTAATATATTAGTTCCTCTATAGTGCCATTGTGTTCACTCTGCTGGATGTTATCATTTCTGCTTGTATTTCGTCGATGCTTAACTGTATTTTAGCATATGCGTAGATGTCTCTTGTCTCTTAATTAATTAATGTTAGGATGGGAGCCGGCCGGCCGAGCGAGCAGCACACTGGATTTGTGATCCTGTGGTCCCGGGTTCGAACCCGGGCGCCGGAGAGAAACAATGGGCAGAGTTTTTTTTCACCCTATGCCCCTGTTACCTAGCAGTAAAATAGGTACCTGGGTGTTAGTCAGCTGTCACGGGCTGCTTCCTGGGGGTGTAGGCCTGGTCGAGGACCGGGCCGCGGGGACACTAAAGCCCCGAAATCATCTCAAGATAACCTCTCTCTTGCATGGGATTAACTCTTGCTAAAACTATCCTTCGCGGTTTTCACACCAGTAAGAGCAGTCTTGTCGCATTTCTGTCATCAGTCCCACCCGTCACAGCTTCAGTGTATTGTGATCTTTGTTTCTTGTCGTGTACTGCTCATCTAACACCCTCGTCCACAAGCACGGCTTGACAAATTTAAATTTTGGCCCGAGGGGCGAGTTTATTGAGCAGCGCCACTCGTCCTGGGAGTGGACACACCGCCATAGTGACAGTATTGAGCAGCGCCACTCGTCCTGGGAGTGGACACACCGCCATAGTGACAGTATTGAGCAGCGCCACTCGTCCTGGGAGTGGACCACACCGCCATGGTGACAGTATTGAGCAGCGCCACTCGTCCTGGGAGTGGACACACCGCCATGGTGTGACAGTATTGAGCAGCGCCACTCGTCCTGGGAGTGGACACACCGCCATGGTGACAGTATTGAGCAGCGCCACTCGTCCTGGGAGTGGACACACCGCCATAGTGACAGTATTGAGCAGCGCCACTCGTCCTGGGAGTGGGACACACCGCCATAGTGACAGTATTGAGCAGCGCCACTCGTCCTGGGAGTGGACACACCGCCATAGTGACAGTATTGAGCAGCGCCACTCGTCCTGGGAGTGGACACACCGCCATAGTGACAGTATTGAGCAGCGCCACTCGTCCTGGGAGTGGACACACCGCCATAGCAGCATGTACAACACTCCCCAATAGGAAGAAAACCCGCTGGGTTGTTCATCCTGTCACTTGTACCCAGACACAGCTGGGACTTGCTTAACTGTCTCAAGTGAACAGCTCCTCAAACAAGAAGATTAACATCTGTCAACCCTTAAAAGCTTACGTTATCTTGCGGGTGCAAAATGGGGAAATCTTTTAAGAACAGTATCTATATTTGACAAATAGTGTTTTCCTAACTCAAACAATGTGAGGTTTATTATTCTACACATAGTTCTCATTTCTCTCAGGTGTTAAGTACACTTGTCAGTGATACTGAAACACAGTTCAGTGTCTTGACAAGTACACTTGTCAGTGATACTGAAACACAGTTCAGTGTCTTGACAAGTGCACTTGTCAGTGATACTGAAACACAGTTCAGTGTCTTGACAAGTGCACTTGTCAGTGATGCTGAAACACAGTTCAGTGTCTTGACAAGTGCACTTGTCAGTGATACTGAAACACAGTTCAGTGTCTTGACAAGTACACTTGTCAGTGATACTGAAACACAGTTCAGTACTTAGTGTCAGTATCTTGACAACTAGGCGCTCGAGGGTTCATCCCTCACCATATATCTTGTCTATATCTCAAATCTGTCTGGTGTGAGTGTGTGTAGTTACCTAAGTGTAGTTACAGGATGAGAGCTACGCTCGTGGTGTCCCGTCTTCCCAGTACTCTTTGTCGTCTAACACTGAACCTACTGACTGTTTTGGCCTCTACTACTTTGTAACTTAACTTGTTCCAACTCTCTACCACTCTGATCGAAAAAGAAAACTTTATAATATTTTTTTCGGCACCGTTGTTGCCTTAGCTTGAAACTATGACCTTTTTTTTCGAGATTGCCGGTTTCAGGAACTCCTCTCTGTCAATTTGGTCAATTCCTCTTATTATTTTGTAAGTGGTGATCATAACACCTCTTTTTCTAGTTTTGGGATATTTACCGTCTCTAACCTCTTCATACCTCTTGTTTCTCAGTTCCGGAAGCCATTTTGTAGCTGCCTTTGTACCCCTTGTAGCTGCTTATCTCAAGAAGTGATGCACTTCTGCTGCTGCATATTCCAGTTTTGGTCTCATAAACGTTATCAACAGCTTCTTCAGTATTTCACCATGCTTGGTGAAATACTCTTTCCGCTCCAAGCAACAGCCTGGTGGACCAAACTCTCACAAGTCAAGCCTGGCCTCGGGCCGGGCTTGGGCAGTAGTAGAAGAACTCCCAGAACCCCATCAACCAGGTATCAACCAGGCATCAACTTGTAATTAAAAAGAGATTGTGAGGTTGGGAAAGCCAGCCCATAGTGCTCACGCGGTGGTCTTCATGGTCTCTGGCCACACTACTATCCACAACTACCACTACAACTCTTTGTTAGAGTTCTTCAAGTCTTTTACACACATATTTGTAGGTTGTGTGAGATCTGCTGTCTCCTCTTCCTCCCGGCCCGGTCTTCCACACTTCATAACATGGCATTTGTTGGCGTTGAATTCCATTTGCCACATGGTGGTACAAGCCTCTATTTTATCTAGGTCAAACTGAGGGGGGGGGGTGTTCTCTTGAATCATCTTGAGATTATTTCGGGGCTTAGCATCCCCGCGGCCCGGTCCTCGACCAGGCCTCCTTTTTTGTTTCATACCCCCCAGGAAGCAGCCCGTAGCAGCTGTCTAACTCCCAGGTATCTATTTACTGCTAGGTAAACAGAGGCATCAGGGTGAAATAAACATTTTGCCCATTTGTCTCCACCGGGGATCGAACCCGGAACCTCAGGACTACGAATC